AGTCCTGTTTATACCCTTTTGGTCACATATATTCTCTTTTTTAATAACTATTAGTACTCGAATATAGATTAAAAAAATAATATAATTTATAATTAAATAGTACTATATATGTTTAATTAGTATATTTATAGAAGCTATTATTTTAATTATAGAATATATAATACTAGTATATTTATAAGGAATTTATTGATTATCTTTTAGTTATAAATTAGAATTAATATAAATATTATAAAGAGCTATAGTACTATTAACTTTATTACTCTTCTTATATTAATATTAATATTTTAAAATATTAATATAATTACTGATTATAGGATTAAAATCGTAATATAGACTAGCGCATTTGTTATTATAATTAATTCTTCCTAATATGTCCAAGTCTAGTTGTATACTTAATATTCAACTTATAAATAATGAAATCCATCATCTAAACTCTTATTATCAATCGATATAATATAAACATTATCTAAACCGCATATCGCCAGTACCAAGCCAAATTTTACGACTTCACGACCCACGACTCATGAATTCATGATAACATCTCATTTAAATGACGTATAAACAGGTTGACCTACTTCCTACCATATTATTGAGGTTTAAATTCCAGAACAATTACAACCGAGTTTCCATCAAGGCACCTCATTACCGCGATGACTCCCAACAATTCCTCAAGCCGAGTCTCTTATTTCGCCCCTCTCCCCGATGAGATTCTGCAACAAATAATCTACTACATCTCTCCGCGCGACAATCTCTCGAATATCCAACTTATTTCAAAGCGATTCAATCGATTAGGAAATGTGCCATTGCTTTGGCGACACCACTGTCGCGTACTCTTCAAGTACTGGGATGTGAAACATTCCTTCAGTCAAAAAAATGCGGGCACTGTAGGAGATGTGGACTGGAAAGCTTTATATATCCATCGGGATAATGTAGACTCAAGAACGACGAACGCTTTGAACGGCCTCCTCGAGAGTCGAGCCAACCGTGTTGTGAACTTTGAAGAAATCGGACGTTTTGGATATGATGCAAAAGATACGCTTTTGCGACATTGTCATGTCCATAGCGATGACCATCTTTCTAGAAAGTAAGCTACTTAATCCGCAGACATTTTCTCCTCTAATACACATAGACACTATGCTTGTGCAGTGCTTGATTATATCCATCGCTCAAAAGCGCTCGCAGTATGGGCGAAGCTTGCCGCGGGCGAGGAGGTATCTCTCGAAGCAGCATTGGGAGCCTACGACATGTTTATCTTGCATGACCACATCGGAGATCAGCAGGAGGTACTTTTCCCCCTCCATATCACTGCGTTGAGCAAGTGTCTAACTAAAAAATTTGGCATAGATTTCCGATATTCTCGACCATCTTGCCACCCGCATACGGTTTGACTACCCAAAATTTGGTCATATGTCTACTCGGCAACAAGCACTCGCAGTGGTTACATTTCTGCGTGGACACAATCTTTTAGGACTCAACTCTGAACTCAGCTACCGCGACTTACAAAATAATTATATCGGTCTGGCACTGCAGGAGGCAGATCATCCTTCATTACCATTGGTCTCCGTTGCAATATTTTGTGCGGTAGCTCGTAGAATTGGGCTTGATGCTAGGGTCTGTGGTATGCCGAGTCACGTATATGCCATGATTTTCCCAAGGCCTTTTATAGATCTCGACGACAAGCCACTCAAACAGAAGGACAGTGCCGTGGAACCTATGTATCTAGATCCATACCGTTCGATCTTAGAGATTCCTTTGGAGAATCTTCAGCGAATGTTGACAGCTTGGGGGGTCCGGGGAGTATCATTCGCCGAATATGTCGCTGATTCCTCCATTACAAACAATATCGTGCTCCGTACGACTAGAAATATAGTTACAACGATTCGAGAGTACTCTTACATACAAAACCGTCCCGCGCAAGACCCATCCTTTATGACTACCCGATTACAAAGTGTGCCGTTACTGGAAATGGATCATGCAGTATATTCAGCTCTTTGGGCAACTTTTCTTCTAAATCCAATACCGACCCCTGCTGTTCACAACCGACTTGAGTTTATCCCCATGCTATTGTCCAGATTCGAGAAATCATTTCCGGAGGACGTTGCTCTTATCGAAAAATACGTTTTGCCATCATACAATAGCTGTACCAGCGAGTATACTGAACTAGCCGAGGAATTAAGAGTAATTCGTGCCGTAGACTCAACTTCAAGGCAAGTGAGGACTCGCAACAAGTCTAGTGGGACGGATCAGGTCAAATTTAGAATTGGGAAAGTATTCCGCCACCAAAGATATGGTTATACAGCAGCAATAATTGGTTGGGATATCGAATGCCACATGAGCTCCAGTTGGATAGCGCATCATCAGATCGACTCCTACCCAAGAGGTAGGCATCAAAGCTTCTATCACGTACTGTAAGTAACCCCAATCTGTATTGTGAAGGGTGCAAGCGCTTACGAATACGACAACAACAGCGTAGAAGATGCCAGCATACGTTATGTGGCAGAGGACAATATAGAAATCATCGAGCAGCCCGACGTAACATCGTTGATGATAGTGGCGGGACAATATTTCAAGCGATATGATCAGGAGAACTGTCGGTTTGTTGCGAACTTCAGGGACGAGTATCCTGATGACTAACTAGTACGTACATATACTACTACAATTGAAAATTGAAAATTCAGATCAGCGTGGACAACTAGCATGCTCTATTGCCCACTCTATGTCGACTGGACTTCTTCCATAATCTCTTTTAAAACTCCCTTCTCGGCTAGGCTTCTCAATGTACGATATACTATTGGCGTGTGGTCTTTCTTACGTCTCGCTGCCTGCTCGTTCTCGTCATTGACCGAGGACAATTCTTCCATGTAAGCGATGCGTAGCGCCCTTTGCTCAGCAACCCACTGCTGATACAACTGAAGAAGAGCACTCGTATCTGTACTTTCTTGCTCGAGTAGCTTACCCGTACTCGCATGAAGTGCTATGTCGTGAAGTAGCTTATCTGTCACGCCAAATGCCTCCGAGGGTCCTCTCATAAGCTCGGAAACGTCAGTCTGACTGAAGTTGTTCGAATCGGGATTATCTTGCGACAGCATAGTTTCAACGAGTTTAATTGCGTGTACATTTTGGGCGAGTTCCAGTGGAATGGTGTGGAGAGGACTTCTACACAAGGACAAAAGATTGAATTGCAACCCATCACCATATTTGCCAATTTGCTGATAGATATTGGCACGGGCAACGGATATCCAGTCTTCTTTGAATTCTCCTTTGATTTGTCAGCCTCGTTTGATCAATCATTGACTTTTACATACCTAAACTGACTGGTTGACGTTGCAAGCCATCAAGTCTCCATACGACATCCTCCACAGGAACGAATGCAATGAAATGAAAACCCGACTCCTCATCTGACCTGGACTTGCTCTTCCCAGATTTCTTTTCCGTTTTCCTCTTTTTTTTCCAGGCGGAAACCTCGTTTGAAAGAGCCAGGTCGGCGTTTAAAATATCCATTCTTCGTGCAAATGAATTATGGAGATTCCGGATGTATTCGTTCTGGCTGAGTTTTTGTCCGCGGTATGCCGGTTTTAAAAAGTGCGTGTCATCCTTAAAACTGCTAATACTGGCCCCGAGATCAAGATCTGGGACGTTCATGACAATATTCAGAAGAGCAATAGTAGCGCAGGCGTTGTGGGTAGTCTGCGTTCTATTAGTCAATTCCTAAGTAAGATAATGGACCTTCCTGACTTGATTGGCAAACCAAACGTGATTCGGACATCTTGGTGGTTCTTTATCTTCTGAGTTATCCTCTACGAATTTAAACAAAAATACTAGTCCATATACTGGTTTACTTGAGAACTATCAACATAGATTTGAGCATGGGTAGATGGGAAGTTTCATACGGTAGATATCGTAACATTTCATCCTCCAATCCCAGAACCTCTTGAATTTTGACGTCCTTGACACCATACTCCCGCAATATGAAATTGAAAAGTGCCTGACGAACAATATGTGTTAATAAAGAACACATACGAATCCGAACAGCAACCTACTGGATCACTCTCTAGTTCACACCATCCTTTCCAAGCCTTACGTTCTTCCTCCGTCAGTGGCTTCATTGCCTCGTCGAGGAGATCGGACTCCGACTTCTTGACCTTTTTGCCGGAATGTCTGGGAAGACTCGTCGCAAGGCCCGTTGAACTTTGCTCTACCTCTTGTGATCCCATGCCGTTTTCACGTGGCTCCATAGAGACTCCACTTGGAGACTTAGAACTCTTTTGATTCCTTAAGGAGCGTCTTCTTGGCTCAATATCAATATCAGCAGCAATCACAGATTTTACCGAAAAGTCCTCGGACTTTGGAGGATCATCCATTGTTTGCTTGCTCTGGTTTCGGAATCTTGATATGGCAAAGTAATAAAAAAGGTTGACCGGTTGACTCTTTGAACTAAAGTAGGTAGGTAAGCAAAAGCAAGGTCAGTAAATTAATATCCTTGTACTAGATGCCTAATAACCTTCTTCAACTGACCTGATCTTTCTACTTTGCCCCTTGAATATTCCAAAACCTACCTACCTAGGTAGACATCTTCAAAATATCATTGAGTAGAAGAAGATATCGAGTTGTACCGGTAACCCGGTAACCTCATTGGCTGTATATAATATTCACAATGTTGTGTAAAGGTGGCCCGAGCTTTGGAAAAAAGCGAAAACGCGTCCCACCAGTCAATACCTCCACTCGCGACTTATTATTAGGCAAAACTTCAAAACTTTGAGCTCTCTCTCTCTCTCTCTCTGAGCTTGGAACTTTTGAACAACTTTTGAACTTTCTTCTGAAACTTTTGAGCTTGAAAGTATTCTTTCACTCACAATATTCCAGTCTCTTTCGGTTGACTGAGAAGAGTTCATTTCCTTAAGTTGTCAGGACCTCATTTGTGAAGAGTTCACTCGCTCATCATTTCTACTAAGCTATCCACGAATTCGACGAACTCCCAACTTCCCAAATATTGGTTCCCTACGATTTTCGTCAAGATATAAAGAATGCAATGATTATAGAACTTCGATAAAATGAATGGAACACCGAGAATGCGTTCTGGCTTTCCGCCCACACCTGGCAGTGGCCAAAGGAATCTACCAGGGCGAGTAACATCCCCATTGAGGGAACTCCCAACCGCTTCACCTACTGCGACAGAATCTGATGCGCCATTGATACCGGTCGAACTCGTCGATGCCCCTAGTCAGCGCATGTATGTTACAGGATTATATGGCTTGCTACTTGTATGGCGTTTATATGATTGGTGGCAGTTGATAGAGGACGAATCCGAGTCCTTCCCATTATTCATGAAATGGGTAATGCTGGACGCACTATTTCTTTACTGGGTGCCAAAGCTTCGAATACCTTGGTTAGAGTGGTCACAATGGACGTCTCATGTAGTTTTTGGGCTACATGCCATCTTTGATTTCGTGCTGATGTTTAGAATTGGGGTAAGTGGCCTTTGACGCAGATCTGAGACGGTTCAGCTAATTATATGAAGCTTCCTCTCCAAGGATGGGTCCTTCTACTCATGAAAACATTTTTCGACAGCGAAATCTCCATTTCAGAGAATAGTGTTCGACCTGCCACCATTTTACACAACTCATCTTTGATTATGGGTAGACAAATTATCAATATATTGCCAGAAGGGTATGTTCCAACCAAAGCCATGTATTATACAATATGCCACGTCAGTACTAACTCATAGTAGATCTGCAACACTGAACCCGGACGGTCTTCCATTCTGTTTAGACAGTAGTCGCCCTGCTGTCAAGCTCCCGATGCATTTCAACCAGACCAAGCCTGTACACATTGAACTACTGCGGTTCGACTTTGACACAAATACAAACGAAACGATTGAGTTAAAGAAAAGGGATATGAAGAACTTTCGAAAGATGGAGGATGAGCCAAGCCTTTATACGCTTGACTATACTGTGAAGAAACCGGGCTTATACAGACTTCACAAGGTTATAGATCAATCGAAACTCGAAGTACAACGTAGGATGTCTGACACTCTTGTTGTCAAATGTCCTAAAGCGATTATCAGATCCACGGCTTCAGATAAGTGTCTAGGAGATCTCTCTAACCTCTCCATCGAACTTGAGGGGACGGCCCCTCTAAAGATCGTGTATGGGCGTACTATCAATGACAAAGATCGCAGTTTCCACTTCCAAAGTAATCAACCGGAGAATTTTGCTTCGCCGCTTTTAGGTGCAACTAGGCCTAGCACGTTACTCACCCCAGGCAACCAAGATGTTTCATGGGGGCAGGCAAGAAAGGTCGTTATCCCTTTGAACGAATCAATGACCCCTAGCGGATTGTGGTTATACTCGATTAACGAGATTCACGACGCTACTGGCAATGTTGCTAATTTTACGCTTGTTGGTGAAGACGGAGAGCTCATCTATCCCAAAAACACACATATGGAACAGAGTCTCATAGTCCACGAGAGGCCCCTTGCAAGGCTCACTGGCTGCGATTCTAGGAGCCCACTAATGGTTGCGAATGGCCAAACAACACAACTCCCCGTCAAATATGCATCACCTGGCCGAAAACCAGATGATACCTCTCACACCTTGACATACAAGTTCTCTCCTCTTGACACCCTGACGGCTGCGGGCGATCACGGTACCGAGATGATTTTCGAGGAATACTTTGCACGCAATGCCCATCAATCGCCAAACATTCGCGAGCCAGGTCTTTACACCCTCGTTGGTGTTAAGAGCAAGTTCTGCGACGGTGAAGTCAGGGAGCCTGCCTCTTGCTTACTACTGAATCCGCCTGAGCCGCAGTTATCTATAAGCGCCGAAAACATCAACGACAAATGTGCTGGCAACTCTATCGGCTTGCTTGTTGATCTTGATTTGATAGGTACTCCACCATTTGTCGTGAGGTACAACATAATCACAAAGAGCGGTCTCAAGCTGGAATCACTGAAAGTACCTGGATTACGACACCAACTGGAGCTTAAACCTCGTGATGCGGGCCATTTCAAATACCAATTTCTCTCTGTGGATGACGCTGTTTACAAGAACCATAAATTGAATAGCAATGATCTAGTTCTGGAACAAGATGTCAAGCCACCGGCTTCAGCGTATCTTAGACGGCCTGCAGGCGACATCGACGCGTGCATCGAGGAGCCCGTCGAGATGAATGTTGAGCTTTCTGGCGAACCACCTTTTACATTGGAATACGAGATTGTGCATGACGGTAGACGTCGAAAGCAAAAGATCACTGGAATTGAAAGTGACATTTATAAGATCAAAACTGATATTTTGATTACTGGTGGTGAATATTCTCTCGCTCTTGCAAGCGTTCAAGACAAGACAGGCTGCAAGATATTCCTCAACAGTGAAGTCAAATTCATGGTCAGACACCAAAGACCTCGAGTTGCTTTTGGACACCTGGACGGCAAGCACAAGATCATGACTATCGAGGGCACCAATATCCCGCTGCCTTTGCGTTTGACTGGTCAACCTCCTTGGAACATCAAATATCGAAATGTGAATGATGATTCTGGCAAGATTTTGGAGAAAACGGCTATGTCGACCAATGATGCCGTTAAGGTTGATGCTCGTGGTACATACGAGTTGCTTGATGTGGCTGACAATCAGTGTCCTGGAACCGTCGATCTCAAGGCATCCTTGTTTGAGGTTGATTGGCTCCCAAGACCAAAGATTAAACTTGCTGATAATTCAGCTCTAGTATTGGATGGCGAGAAGTACGTTAAGCATGAAGTATGCGAAGGTGATATAGATGCAGTGGATGTCAATATCATTGGTAAGTTGAAATATTCACTCATGATCGTCTTTGATTCGACTAACAAATCGCAGGTTCTCCCCCTTACCACATCAAATACCAAATTCGTCATAAACCAGAACACGGCTCGGCATCTATTAGTAACAAAGAGTTCGATGCAGGCCTTGGACTTTCGACTGTTGCCATGAACACAATAAAGCCGGGAACTTACGAGTATAAGTTCTCCGAGCTTTCTGATAATCTCTATGACCATGACCCAAAGAAATTTTCGCCGCTTATCATCGAACAAAAGGTCAACAGGAAGCCAGCGGCACATTTTATAAAACCAGGACAATCGTACAAGTATTGTAAGGAAGAGCTCGCCGGAGATGAAGTCATCCCTATTGGATTAGAAGGCATCGCTCCCTTTTCACTTGAGATTGACATCAAGCACCAGAGCAGCACAAGACCTGAAACGGTCAAAATTGCCAATATCGATTCCAACAATTATGACTTCCGAATACCTCATCGAGTTCTGTCGCTAGGCATACATCAAGTCAGTGTACGAAAAATTCGCGATTCCAGAGGATGCCAGCAAAAGACAGAACATGGAGCTCCTCATGTACAAGTACAAGTTTACGATGTTCCTACTATCTATCCATTGGACTCTCGCACAGACTACTGCGTTGGAGAACGAATTGCGTACACATTATCGGGTGCAGCGCCATTCGAAATTTACTACACGTTTGAGAACGTACAAAGGAAAGCAAAATCACCCAATACTAGTTTCAGGCGTATTGCCGAGAAGCCAGGTGATTTCACTATCACGGCTATCTCGGATAAGGCCAGCGAGTGTAAAGCAAAGACTGAAATCACAAAGATCATACATGAAATGCCCAGTGTCAAGATCAGTAAAGGAAGGCAAGTGGAAGTTGATATTCATGAGGGTGGACAAGCTGAACTTCTATTCGAATTCTGGGGTGTGCCACCTTTTGAATTTACATACACGAGAAGTACGAATGCAAAGAAGGGCCAAAAGTCTCATGTGTTGGAGACTAGACATGAGATCTCGTATGAACACAGCAAGACAATACAGTCTTCGCAAGAGGGAACTTATGAAGTGGTAGCCATCAAGGATCAATTTTGCTCTTTCTCTACACAGAAAGCGGATGGAAAGAGTGGGCAAAAGTTGCTTCAATACTAAAGTGGGGGGCTTGATGATGCATAGCGCGGCGTTAAGGTACATTGTATTCAACGGGGGAATGTCATAATATCATGTATGGCAATAGATGGATCAGCTTAACAAGTTGAGGTTTCAAAATTTTCCTGAATTTTGCCTTGCATGGAAGTGTTTCAGTGAGCCGAATCAAATTGTCATAGTAGGCCTACCACATATACCTAATATGCAAGTGTCAGGATCGCTCTCGTTCCAATTCTTTCAAATACTCAACGTCAAACCTGAACTTCCTTCCCTTATTCCAATCCAGACCCCAATTGATATCCCCCGCCTCCACCTTTACTGCTTTGAAAGCTCTCAATCCATCCAAGATGTCTTTCTTCTGCTCCCATGTATAAGTTTGTGGAGGCTCCTCCCATCCAATTCTCAAAATTTGAATATCGGCCCCTGCTAACCATTTCCTCAACTTCTTAATCCCTTTAGTTACTTCTACTAATCTCGCCTCAGCTTCGAAGCCCTCGGGTTTCTGTTTACGTTTTTCGCTTCCGAGTTGGATGGAGAGTGATAGATTTCGAATGGAAGAGGTGAGGAATGAGGAGAGAACCAAATCAGAGCGTTGCGTTCTGTGCGCCCAAAGATTGTAGTTGACTGTCAAAGAGATGGTCTGAAAGGGGTCGCCATAGAATATTGGGAGTGCTTCGTGGTATATTTGGCGGTTAAGATGTAGGACAGCGATTTCGAACGATCGCGAGAGATAGATGTGGGATTGGAGTTGGCGAGGGTGGGGGCCAAGACGGGGGTCATCAGAGGGAGGGGCCAGTAGATGGCGATATATGAGTTGGCGGATTTCAAACGGCATGCGTAGGAGTGGGGGAAGAATTTCGGCTGAGTGGGTCTCGTTGGGCTCGACGTGGGTATCTCCACCAGAGTCGGGTTTTGGCATGGCATTAGAAGGTGATTGTGTGTATTGTTGAAGAATGAGGAAGTGGATTCGGAGATCTGATTTGCGGAGTGACCAAACGGCATCTTCTGAGATGGTAAGAACTCGTTCGATTGTAGGCGCCCGTTGTGACGTCTTTGCAGCGGCTATGCTTGCTGCGGTGCAGATACGTTTGTTCTTTGATTCTTCTGTTGAGTGTGACTTATGCCTGGGAGGTCGCTTCTCCAGGGACACATTTGGAGAGGCCATGGTTGAGCCGTGACCTGCGTCGTGATGCATCGTTGTTATTGTCCTACCGAAGCACAAAGATTGGTTGGAGGTTACATGGAATCGGAACAACAGCTCGCTTAATGATTGAGATAAGATAAGGTAGATCTCAAGAAGACCGGCCCCTACTTTAAAACATATATCAATCGCCTTACTATAAGGCTGCATATATCAATTGATCCACTCCTGGATTTAGATATCGCAAACAGATTAGATAGGCCGGGGCCAAGCCTTGAACCTGCCTCCGAGTTCTCTATTATTGATTAATGTAAATAATATATATAATCCTCGAGAAATAATAGGTTCTCTATTTTCTTATTTCATTCTTAGATCTATATTAAAACCTATATTAAATAATAAGAATTGATTATATCGATAACGTTTAATCGAGAGAGCTCAACTCAAATATAAGATCTAATATTATTTAATTAGAGTTTAAATATATAAAAATAATACTCTTTTATATTTTTATAATCTTTATATAACGAGCTTTTAGACTACTATCGAAGACTTATTAACTTAATTATTATAAAGATTAAAAAGTATCTTCGATTATTCTCTTATTAGATTTGTTTTATAAATTATTATAAGAAATATATTTATATTAAATATTAATTATAAGATTATATATAATTTCAAAACAAGCAATCGCTATCGTATATTGATTATATATATTATTATAATATAAAAGAGTAAATAGTAAATATAATTCGATATATAAAATTCGATCTAATAATTCTTTTAATATACTTTATTTAGTATTTTTAGAGTTTCAAATCTAAATTAATTTAAAAAAAATTAAAAATAGAGTTAAAGACGAAGATTTAATAATAATAATTTATAGTATTAGATATATAAGTAGTAGTTATTATTTATTTTACAAAGTCGTTCTTTACTTTGGCCCCACTTAGAGTGACGACGATATAGCTCCACTTGGACCTCATATGGCATCGAAAAGGTTTAGCTTCAAATTTCGAAACGCTCTCGATCAAACGCGGGGTAATGGAGGACTAAGGCACGGCCGAGGCCGTTCGGTAAATGCCGAAAGCATGCCTTCGGTTCCCATGGAATGGCGTTAGGCCTTCCTTTTGACAGTGTGTATGAAGCACTTTTAGATTCTATATTTCTAGTTCTATAGTTCAATTAATAGTTCTATGACTTTATTATTACTATACTACTGTTATCTCTTCCTACTTTTTATGTATGCTCTGTGATTTATCACAAGAAACCTATATCCCTAAGTGAAATTCAAATATCTATTATTTCAGAGGAGGCCTTGCTCTTACAAGTAAAGGCATAACAACAAATTGAACATCCTTTCTTTCTCCTGAAATGGCAGACATATCCTGGAATCCTCCTACCATCAATCCATCTCCATCTTTCCTCACCATTCTCTCAAAGCCACATGCTCCCATATCTTACACCTTCTTCCCATCTTCTCTGGCCTACGCAGAATCAAATATCAAACCACATCACAACCTCATTGTCTTCGTGAACGGTCTTGGACTTCCCGCTTCTTCTTGAACGCCTGTATCTCAATTCTTCGATCCCATGTCAAGAGCCTTCCATCAATCTTAACTTTCGATCGTTATGGCCAGGGGTTGACGACGGCAAGAGATCCGTTAGATGATGGGAATGGGTACGGACATGGTTTCATGGATGCTGCAAATGATCTTCATGAAATCATTCTCGAGGTCGCTAGAATGAAGCTCGGGCTTCATCAAAACGAGGCCGAAAATGGGAGATTGAGTGTAACATTCGTGGCTGCATCGATAGGAGTAAGTGCTATATTTGAATCCATGTCCCCTATGATAAAATTTACAATAAAACATAACACTTCTAGGTCCCCATAACCCGCCTCTACATACAATCCCACCCCTCCATCGCCTCCGGCCTCTTTTCCCTCGACTCCAATATCCCCAACGTAAATTACAGCGATTTCCTCCCCGACCCCTCATCCCCGGCCTTCAACCCCTCTCTTGTAACCGCCCCCGACTGTACACTCGCGCAGTACATCGAGGCACGCACAAAATTAGTAAATCTATTTGACCTATCCGTCCCAAACTCCGAATCAATGGATCGACGAACTGGTCCAAAATTACTACCATGTGCTGATCGACCCAAACTTATTGGTGTGGATGGAAAGGGACCGTGGCTTACAGTTGTGGGTCATGATCCGGTTACTTTTGCGAATTTTAGTTTAGAGAGGATGGGAACTCCGAGAAGTATGAGCATGAGGTTTACGAATCCGTGAGTTGAAAGTCGATTATTGGCTGGGCACAGATGTCTAATGAATGATATAGATACTGGGCGAAATATAATGCGGGGTTGGTGAGTATAACAGATGAAGAACGATGTGAGGGTGTGAAGATTGCCAAGGGCTGTGGTCATTTTATCCAAATGGATGATCCGAAGTTTGTCGTCGAAGAGATCAAAACTATCCTTGGTAATTTGAATTTGGAGTGAGTATTCAGATTGGCATTGACACAATGGGTACAACATCTGATTACACTATACAACGCTTGAACATCGAGCAATTCGCTTACCTTTGCTTGCCAAACATCACACTTTTATGATAGTCCAGATGCAGTCCCGACGTTTTAATCAAACCCTAAATCCAGCAGATAAAATGAGCGTGACATTTTATCATACAGAATACTCGACATTCGTAATCTCTTTCATGTAGTGGAGGAATGTAGCTTAACTTTCACCCCGTTGGCGGAGGCATCGGTAAGCTTCAAATTATGCTTCACCACAGGGTCCATTTCCATATTCTTAATCATGTCGAACCGCTGAAGAAGTCTTACAATGAGGTATCCGGCTTCCGTTAACGCAAATTGCTGTCCAATACACACCCTCGGGCCGCCATTAAACTTTTGATATAAGTGATGTGTCCGGGAAAGGGGACCCAAACCCAAACTTACCGGTAAAAATTCCCACCCAACCTTCTTTCCCTCCCACCTCTCTGGCCGAAAGTCGTCGGCGTCTTCACCCCATATATCTTTTCTGCGATGCATGACAAAAACGCTATATTCAGTATACGACCCTTTTGGAATAAAGATCTTCGATTTCCCATCCTTTCCACCACTACAAGGTAGTGTTGTGTCCTTATTTGCATGTCTACCGTTGAAGGGTACCGGCGGATAAAGTCTCAAAGCTTCATTCATACAATACTGAAGATACTGGCAATTTTTGAGACCGGAAAAGGTTATTTCGGAAGGATTTTCGTAAGTTCCGAAATTCTCGATTACGATATTGCGTAATTTTTGGTAATAATTAGGATTCTGAGCAAGGGAAAGAAATAACCATCCCAGTAAAGAGGCGGTGGTATCTCTGCCTGCTAGGAGCAAGTGCAAGCATTGAGAACGGAGCTCAATTGGATCCTGTGTTTCTTTTGCCAGGGCATCGAGGAAGATGTATTTTTTCTTAGTACTAGATAGATCGTTTTCGTCCTGAGATTCGCCTAGCGAGCTTCTGGTGAGAGCGAGTTGCACAAAATGATCGACGTACTCGTTGCATTCATTGCAAGAGTTTGTGAAGTCTTTACTGGTGGCCAGCCAATATTTATCAGCAAAACGGCCTCGGGTAGAGACCCAGGATAGCGCATTGTCGAATGCAGTTGCAAAGTCAATTCTATCAATCTCGGCTGAGTTGTGACGTCCTGGTAAGTCGAAAAGCTGACTATCAGCAGACCTGGCATTGTCGTCAGTACATTTGTCAATGTGGTGTTGAGGGGTGTTAGGGATAGCCTCCAAATCAGTTTAGAAGAGAGCTAATCAGCGATGGCCAAGATTCTACTTACTGTCCGAGTAGAACTTCCGTTGCAGAATCCATCGTAAGGCGAAAGAACAGAACCTGTAGATCTATCTCTTCAGTCCATCCATTTTGAAGTCTGGCATCAATAGCTTTCATCAAATTTTGAACATGTTTCTCCTCTACTTCAATATCACTGATCTGCTCCCGAGTGAATTGAGGTCTCATCATATCCCTCGACACCTTCCACCCATGGCCATCCTGTGTAAATATGCCATTCCCAAGCATGGGCCAAAAGGCTCCTCTCCTCAGTGGCCCGAGATCAAAATCGTCAAATTGTGTCGCTAGGATGGCTTTGATATTTTCGGGATCTACTGTAAAAAGACTAGATGTGCCCAGGATGGAATATTTCCATGTGATACCATAACCTTCAGCATTTCTTTGGAGGAAGATCGGAAAGAATTTTCCCCTGTCGGCTTTCAATGATTTTTTGATAACATCGAGACCGAAAGGCCAGCGACTGAAACTTTCTTGCATTACTGGTTCTTCACATCCGAGTTTGTGTGCTTTCGCTGCATATACTTGTGATTTGTATAACCTGCTTACAATGAAACAAAACAAAAGAAAGGAAGCCACCCAAACACTCGTCGAAGTCATTTTTTCCCAGTGTATATCAGAAGAATATCTGTAAAACAAAGTGCAGCAGATACTGGAATGTGATGGAGAGATGGGTTGCGAATGATAGTTGTTATGGAAGGGTAAATGGATGGATGATAGATGATATGGAAGGATAGATGATGGATAATGGATGGTGAATAATAGATCAGATGATCTCACTGATAATGTGATATATACACTACTAGTAGGGTAGTTGACGTTCCTATATCTTGAAATGAGCTGATAAAAGAAGGGGGGAAAGTTCGATTACCTATCTGGGTGTAATGAAATACTTGCTTGTAAGCTATATATCATGAATTATAAAATATAAAATAATTGTTTTTGGTTATTAAAAGCTTCATAATTCGAGCTGGCCCACCATCATCACTTGTCACGAATTTTTATTCGCCAAGTTGAGCAGAAGACACGCTCTCAAGATTTTATTCTCCCTTTACCTTTCCCTTTCTTTTCCTTTCCTTTCCCCATCCCAATATAAACCGGCTTGTTAGCATCTCGCCGCCTTCCCATATCATATATTTTCTCCCCCCCTCCAATAACATAGAATTCAAAAAACAAACATGCTGAATCATATTCCTGTATCCCCCACCAAGGATTTTAGCTTCCTTCCAAACACCAAAACTTGTGCTGGTCAACGCATGCAGAAAAACCCATTATAAGAAGAGCCGTCAAATTCATATACAAAGTAACATAATCATGAGAACAGAAGTTGAGGTCGTGAACATCAAACTGAGCCGTAAACGTAAAACAAAGAAAAAGTTAGGGTAAAAGGTCACCACCTAGTTGCATACCAAGTCCGGTGTTTTTGGAAACAGGACTTTCACGCATTGACGGGCTTGCATTTGATGGATAAAAGTTTTCGAATGTTAAGCGCCTGCGTGTAACAGTCAATGGAGTCTTCGCAGCTCTTGGGGTCCAGGTTGTTTGAGCGGGACTTGGAGTGATATTGACAAAGTCGGCAAAGTCGAATCCTTGTGAAGGTGTGGCCGGTGCACCAAATATTGAAAAACCACCGCTATAACTAGGAGTAGTCATCATAGATGACGGTAGATCAAGCTTCCTGGATGGTGGAGTAGATGGTGGTTGCATGCTCTTTCGTGAAGCGGGATTTGCGGGACTACTGAGGTAGAGTAGGAGATCTGCTTCAGCTTCCGCTAACCTGCCGTTACCTTCTTTGTTTCGATGACGTGGATTGCCTCTGCTTCGAACAGGAGATGGAGTACGCGGAGATGAGGGACGGATGTTGAAGGAATGTAGAGGTAGGTGGTTTTCCTCATCATCGGATGGGGCTGCGAAGTTAGGAGAGGTAAGATTGTCTGGCAGATGTGAAGATCCTCTGTAAAAAGAGATATCCGGTCCTGCCGAGGTGGTGAAGTGAGGTTTGCGCGGCTTGATAGGGGATGACTGGGCCAATTGGCGGTGACTCTTCCAGGAGCTATTTGGTTGGCGTAGTAATCTACTCGGTGTGGGAGAGGAGCGAACCCTCTTTCGAGATCCAGAAGTTGAGCTTGGTGGATGGAAAGTGGTATGGTACGACCTCTTCCTAGGGCTAGTGCTACTCCCACTTGATACATTTCGATGGGAAAATATGGCTGCGGCTTTTAAGGGAGAACTCAATAAGGTTCTTCGGTTCGAGTATGGTAATTCAGATGCAACACTTGAGGACGAATCCGACAATATATCTCCGCTTGAGGTTGGTCGTCTTCTCCTCAGTTCTTCTTCCATCCTGGGTTCTATTGTATCCAGAGTAAGATCCTCCCAGCCCCTTTCGGTTTTGAACTGTGCGAGCGCCAGTCGATTCTGCAGTTTCCGAGCCATCTAGACAGCTTGACATTAGTATAGTGCTGGGGCATAGGATCTGACCTAAATGGCACAAGAAAGGTATACCTTGCTCAATTCAGCTCTTTTCAGTACCGCTCCTGCTACCTCCTCCGGATGCTTCTTCCATGGGGAAGACATTTTCTATCAATATCCGAGTTAAGTATGAATATTGATATGTTTACCGTTGAGGTTGTGAAAGAAGGTTATTTCAATAGCAAATATTCTGAATCTCTTGGAAGGTGAAAAGGGAAGGTCGGCGCCAAAAGTGAAATTAGCCTTAGCTTCTTCCACCTTTTTTTTTTCTTCTCTCGAATGATTTTTCCGTTGCGGGCCAATAGCAATATAGATAAAGGATTATACAGAAGTTTGATGGAAATGTCTGTTTTTTCCCCAAGAAGAGTCGGAGTTGTAGTAAGTTTTATTAAGAGTGAATTAATTGTATAGGTGGTTGAATGATGCGATTTGAAGATGAAGAGGTTGGAATTCTGTTGGCTCATTCCTGGCTGGCTCTGCTACTTCTACCGGTACAGCACCTACCTATCGCTTATTGGTCTAGTGGTCTTGTTGAGATAGCGATAGGGTTCCCAGGTCTTCAATATAGGGTTGAGGAATATAGTATAGTAATTGTCTTATTATACAATTAGCTATCTAAGTAGCTATAGATAGTAGATATAGTATCTAGAGTATAGTAGATATTGAAGTTTTGTATAGAGATATATGGATTAAATAATTAGATAGTTAGAACAGTGAGTCTATTGTACTTTTCTATACTCAAGGTACAAAATACAAGCTGTTCTTTCTTCTGTTTTCCTTCTGTGAGTTAAGTGTTTTCTCTTCTGTGAGTTATTATTATCTATTACTCGTATATCTCTATGTCTTTGTTGAAAAAGCCTTTCTTTCTTCCTTCCTTCCTTCCTTCCTTCCTTCCTTCGGCCCGTGCCTGTCTGTGCCTGTACCTGTGCCTGTGTCCGATTTACCTCTTACCTCGGAAGTCTGGAATGCACAAATCAACACCCACACCACTACACTGCTGTACACACCACAAGTCACGAAATATGTTGTGTGAGAATTGATATGCCGCAGTACATCAATTCTGCATATATACAATCACCAACGGCTGAAACCCTCTTATTATTGAGATTGAATATCGGTTCGGGATATCAATGGAATCATATAGCGGTACCGATATTATAAATAAAGGTTAGACTAAATAAAAGCAAAACAAGGGGAAATCCTGGTAATAAACCCTGGTAATAAATCCTAGTTAATGCCCAGAAGCTAAAGCACGCTCCCCGCCAAATTATACTCCGCTGTATGGTTCGTTCTTCAATAAGAGACTCTGCCCAGAATAACCAATAACCTTGGAATATCTTTATCATTGCTATCATTGCTACCTACTAGGTAGGTATATATTCATGTACTTGTCTGTATCCATGACTGAAAAACATTAAATTCACATCACTCCAGCTTATAATTACAACCCATTCATTCACACCTTCCATTGTTTCCCCATTTATTTAATAAAATATCCCTAGAGAACCTTCTTTGCCCATCACCTCCCATCAGGGAAGAAGCTTCGTAACACTCCCCTTCTCCAACCTTATCTTCCACTATTACTATTGCAAGTTGAGGGAGCACTGACCTCAGAAAATAATCAACAAAGGTCTGCCATCATTACCATTGTCTCTAAAATGTTCATTCCAATGTCCTCTTCAGCAGAATAATCGCAAGCTAATCAATTCTCCTCCTCAACCTATAGCTACCCTCCTTGCTTCTACACTCCTTACTCTTAGCTACAGTATGGCCCCTTCCTTCTTGAAGGACTTTAAAAGGCGCTCCAAGTCCGGCGCCAAAGCGACAGACTCGAGCACTGGTGAATCAAATGTCAGTAATGGAGGCAGCAATGGAAGCAATGGGAGTGGTGTTCGAAGCAACACATTCACTTCAAGCAAATCGCAAATCTCCTTGAATTCTTCTTATGGCACCACAACACCTCCAGCGATGCCAAATTCCCAATCATCATCCAACCTCAACGGCACGGCAGTAACTCGTCCAACAGTTTCGACAACTGGATCAAATAGACATAGTGTTTCTGGAATGTCAGGCATAGGATCTCCTTCTTCAAAATCGGCTTTGCCTGTCTCGCCATATTCGCCTCGAATTCTGTCCATTTCTGATAACACATGGGTAAGATTTTTTGCCAGTGCTTCGGAATTTGGCAGGGCTAACTAATCTCAAATAGGTATATCAAAAGGTCCTATCGATATATGGCACGATATCAGATCCCTCAGAAGTACAGATAGATGGAACACTCGCAGCCACTCGTTTAGATGATGGCTTTCCCCCGACCTACTGGCCGGTCTCGGAGTCCCATTTCAAGGCATTGGTTTACCTTACCCCAGGACCTAATCGATTGAGATTCGATTTCACATCTCCCAAACTTGCGAACAGCAATTCTCCAAATCCCATACACTCCTCTTTCCTCACTCTTCACATGTTGCCAACTCTTACAAATCCCCCACTTCAATTGGTTATATTGATCGGGAAGGATTCGCCTGGGACATTCGATGCCGTGCCCTCGCGCATTGAAAGAGAGGGCAATGGTTTGGATACTGCCATACGAAAATTCAGAATGGCAGCTTATCTGTACGTACTTTTTCATTACATCTAAACACTGCTATCCCGGTAGCAAAGAGCCAAGGCATTATTGCTAGATCTAGCAGCCGGCATTTTGTTGGCCTAAGTGGTCTGAGAACAGAGTTTGTTTCTCTGAGATTCTAGATACGGGATTTGGCAAGGTGCCACATCCTACGTATTCGAGTCTTACTTATTTAGTTGAATATTAATATATCTTTTACCTGAACTAACGATCACTAGTTGGCAGGCATTTACCGCCGAGCAGATGTTTCGAAATAAGCTTGGCCGAAGGACATTCAGATTCGAAGAAGAGTGGATTACAGGCACTTCGAACTATAGAGACCGTGAACTCGGAACAATGAGAAGTGAAGCGAAGGTTCATGTTATTCGAAGCTCGAAGACAGTTGCCGAGCTTCGAGATTTCGATGTTGCCCAGCAGAATGAAAATGGTGCTCGCCGAGGGGATCTGTTTGCATTCGCCACTGAAGATGTCAAAAATCATTTTCAACCTCAGCCAGGTCAGAAACAGTACGTGACGGTTCTCCTCCTGGACGCTCATTGGGAGAAACAGCACAATATGATAAGTGGCCACGCCGCCCTTGGAGGTGGAGGCGGCGAGCTTCAACTAGCTATCTTCGGTAGCCAGGCATTACAAAGTTATCCATCTACGATCGAAGAAGTTGTTCCGGCATTTTCTGATTGTACGATCACGGACACTAATTATGTAGCCAATGACTGTAACGAATCTGGCAGCAATTGGGAGGCTGCCAACATTGGAATAGGTGCCCACCTACATGAAGTGGGCCATTTGTTTGGATGCCCTCATCAAGAGAATGGGGTAATGCTTCGCGATTACGTCAAGTTGAATCGATCGTTTACCACCAGAGAACCTTATTCAACGCGCACAAAATCGAAGGGAGGCTTGGTTTTACCAAGGGATGAATGCACATGGCATAGATTGGATATTCTGCGTTTCAGAAGCCACCCATCGTTCGCACTTCCCACAGACCCTCCACGAGTTAGTGATGAATCAATTCAAGTATGGCCTGTGGATAATGCTAGCGTAATCATTACGGCGGCATCGGGAGTGGGTTGGCTCGAAATATTTACGGAGGGCGACGATCTTTGTCGTAACTGGCAAGAGTTCGGAGACGGGAATGGCAATGGGCCCATTCAACGACAGATTACTCTAACAGAGCAAGATCTAAGAAGTCAACTACCTGAGGATCGCCGAAAGTCGAGACTAAAGCTATCTGTGAAGTCATTCGGTGGTGGCAGCCACGAGGTGGAAGATTTTGCCCAGCTAATCTCCAAAGCGAGCAAGCTGAAATTAAAGAATGGACATATGGGCTTCAGAAGTAGCAAGCTGGGCGCATCACAGATGGATGGCACCCAACCGCAGGAGGTCATATTTGATAGCACGATCCATCAAACAAAACTAATGACCCAAGTGAAGGTGTAAGTAGAAACATTGCCTTAAGACAACGGGAAGGAATATATGGGATCGCCATCCTTCGCATTCCTAAGACAGTTCACCTAGATACGTACGCCTGCTGACTTAAATTCTAGTTGGGCGGGTTTCGCGCTTGATGGTATAGAGTTTCTTTACGAGGATGCGACCTCGCAACTTTTTGGCAAAAGGGGTGGATCGTCTGCGGATTTTAGCCTCGGTTTGTATTATACTTCTCAAACATCCCGTCTCGGGTGCTAACCGCTTCATAGATACACGTCGAGGAGAGTATATTACTGGATTCTACGTCAGAAGTGGGTTGTGGCTGGATGGAATTGCAATCATGACTAGTCTAGGGAGGAAGTCCCAAGTTTTTGGAAACCCTGTTGGCGGTTCTGGGTTAGTATTTGCCCACCCTGCTCCGATGATTGTCGCGGTGTCGTAATGAGTGAGGTGTCATACATTTCGACAGTTCTTCTTATTGCCTATGGCTACCCTTGTCCAATTTTACTGATACCTTCTAGGCATACTTTGATACCCCCAAGAGGATATACCATTGCCGGCGTTTATGGATCATGTGCATCATGGATTGATGGTTTTGGTATTATTCTTACCCGGTAACAGTATGAACGTAATGGCTGGGAGGTGGGAATAGGTCACTTTAAAGTTGTATAATTTGGCTCGGGACGACATAATTCAAACATTTTTGGCAAATTCCTGTTTATCCCACGATATCACTTTCTCAGGGCGGCTTCAGTAAAAAAATACCCACCTAGCTAGCTAGGTAAAAGCACGAGTGCGAATGACATGACTTGGGCATATCTATAGAGCCGGTTTAGAATAAATGACAGACTTTTAGTCCTTGTCTGTTTTGCAATTCCACTGAGGGTGATTGTAGGATATACTGTAACTCAAAGCCCTTGACGAATAGTAGTCACTGTGTCACTATTAAAATTCGCTTTGATGAGGATGTTGAAGACGTGGATGATGGATTTGATATTTGTGAGGCTGTGAGGCTTGTGCAATAATGCATTCAGACTTCCCGAGGTCCTTCAAATAAATTTAAAGCTTTGCTCAAGCCCCTTGTTCAGCTGTGGCTTGGCGATCCCTCAACGTCATGGGTGTTAAAACCAAGCTCTTCCAACGAAAGAAAACAAACCTAGAAAACCACTTTCCAATAGGAAAACCGAAAAGAAAACAACCTCAAGAGATCCTCACTTTCCTTTACACCTCGGATACTCAGTGTGAATCAATATATCTCAGATGTCGAAAAGAAATAGTGCCAATGCCGAAAATGGTGCAACGAAGGAATTAAATGTTGGTGAGCCTGGTATGTTTACGATTCCTTCTATGACTTGCTCTCCCCCTCTTGTGTCAAAAGCTCGATTTTATATGATTGTGAAGGATAGCTAACAGAAATTCTAGCCGAGGACAAGCAGAAGAGATTACTGGAGAAGGATACTGGTCATTTCTCTATGATTAAGATGCTGCATCTTGCAGATCTGATCACCGAACTTAATGGTAACGCAGCTCTTCCCATATTCTCTTTCTCGCACAAATATACTAACTGCTGCTCGTTAGGATTTTGTGGTGTCATGTCTATATTTTCCTCGATGCGGTATTGTCTAGGCCCAAACGATGCGCATGGAAATCTCTGGGCAGCTTTGGCTTTTATGCCTTTCGGGCTGTTCTTCGATTTCATGGATGGGAAGGTTGCGAGGTGGAGAAAGAAGAGTAGCTTGATGGGGCAGGAATTGGATTCTTTGGCTGATTTGGTACTGTTCCCCAATTTTACTTCCTTATATACATTTGATGATGCTAATAATTTCTACTACAGGTTTCTTTTGGCGTCTCTCCTGCCGCCGCAGCTTTTGCCATCGGTATCCGCACTCCTGTCGACCATCTTTTCCTCACCTTCTTTGTCCTTTGTGGTCTTACCCGTCTCGCTCGTTTCAATATTACAGTAGCCAATGTCCCTAAGGATGCAACGGGAAAGAGTAAATACTTTGAAGGCACACCCATTCCAACTTCCCTCTCCATTGCCGCTCTAATGGCATACTGGGTATCCAAGGGATGGATTTTGGACAACATACCATTGGGAACAGTGGGTACTGGTACAGTTTTTGAATTCCATCCTGTGGTGGGGCTTTTTGTCATCTGGGGTTGCATGATGACTAGTAAGACTATTCATATTCCTAAGCCATGATTTTTCATTGTGCTAGGAATGGGTTATGCATTATGGACGGGGAAAGGAGGGGGTGGAAGGAAAGGGGGGATAGACATACCCAGATTGGTGGTAGGATGGAGATGACATACGTATTATGATACCTTGAAGCTCATCAATTGGCGCGATACACCTATTGAATGCAATCCTCCTCTCAAATTATAAACAAACGATTACATGCTAGTGAAGAAGGTCAATTGACGTGTCATATAACCATGGTTCTCTTTCTATGGTATTTTTGACCCCTACCCATTATTCCACTCCAAGTACACAACAAAAGACCGTCCCAACCAAGATTCCGACCTTCGAATACAAAGAAACAAAAAACTAGCTTTTTGACTTGACAGCAATCATGAGACCCCCCAATAAAACTATCATAATTCCTTGCTCATAATTCCTATTTCATTAAATAACAAGAATCTCGATGGCACTGCCGTGCTTGGTTTCGCAACCTGGAGGGGGAGGGGAAATGAAATTGGCATTTGATTGTGTATCGTGAAATAGAGATATTGAATTGGACAATGAGAGGGGCACAAGGACTAAAGGTACATATGTGGATGTCGTAGTGGTTACGAAGAAATTGCCCCTGTCGCCTCCAGACTGGCGGTTGGTTTCACTCTAGAGTCTAGAGTAGACTCTCCTCGACGAAATACGTGTAATATGTTGCCCGAAGCTTCATGATTTTCCCATCTTCCACTGACAATATTGACTAAGAAAGTACAATTTCGCAGCAGCCCAAGCCATACCTACAAATATATCCTTAAACGCCATATACCCAGATCTGATCTACTTCAGCTATTTATCCGATCATTTAACCACCTCGAGAGAATCCTCCTCTCGAACCACCTCTCGCGCCACCTCGAGGTGTGAAACCACCGCCACCTCTGGAGAAGCCACCACCGCCTCCACCTCTAGAGAAACCTCCACTGCCACCTCTTGGTGTGAAACCGCCTCTTCCACGTGGTGCACCTCGTCCACCACCTCGTCCGCCTCTCATTGGTGCTCCTCTACCTCCTCTGGCACCACCGGCTCTCTTTGGTTTTGGTGCTCCTGGAAGTGGCTTGGGCTTTGGAAGGAACTTCTCCAAAGGAAGAAGTTTGTCGCCGCCGATGTAGAATTTGTCGCCGGTCTTGAATGAAGTAGCTTGGATACCTTCGGTGGGCTTAATGGTGAAGTAAACTTGGTTGATTGGACCGAGGATTTCGTCAACTTTACCAATTGAGGTCTATTAATTGGTTGTTAGTGTGTGTTCCATAGAATCCTTGAGCTTGGGGGTATTATTACCTTGTTCTCTAGGTAGATTGGCGCATTGAAGTAAGGAATTTTAGTATTGATCGATTCGCAGACAATTTCTCCTTCGCTAGCGTGGAGGAAAGATCCCATAGCTATGTCCAATATCAGCAATTGGCTCTGACAATGAAAATTGAGTTAACATACCAAATACATCTGATGGAGGACCATTGTCTCTTTGCTGGAAACCGCCGCGCCCTAAATTAAACTGTTAGCAATTGCGCACAATTGACCTTCTCAAATACGCAAATGAGCATCAACGTACCTCCACCACGAGCACCAAATCCTCCTCTGCCACCACCGAAACCAGCATTGGCGCCGGTAGCACGACCGCCTCTTGATCCGCCTCGGAAAGACATTGTTTAATTGTTCGAGGGTGTTTTAAAGTTATCGTTGGAGAGTTACAAAAATTAAAGCTGCTCTGCTCTGCTCTCCAAAAAATTATTCGAAGCGAAAACTGGGTAGCGTGGACCAAAGCTCAGAACGATTTTTATTGGTCAAAATACCTTAGTCATCTTTACAGTGCACGGCTCAAGTAAAGAGCGGGCAAAATGTTACAAACGATCATAGGAGTCACAAAATTATCAGAGAAAGGACACCATCTGGTTGTACTTAACTTTCCTCCTCAGTACAACAAAATCGAATAATAAAAACTACCTTCGATTACCATGGAACAGGCAAAGGAGGCAGTGGAGAAGGTGGCAGAGGGCGTTAAAAATGTTGCCATTGGAGAGAAGAAACCAAAGGCACCCAAAGCACCCAAAGCACCAAAACCAAAGAAGGAAAAGGGAGGGGATAGTGGGGTAGATGCCGGACCTTTGGAACTCAACCCAGCGCCAGAATTTATTGCTCATCGCATAGCGGTTTTTGACAAGTTGAAGGCCAAATACGATGCGAAGATTGCTGCGAAAGTAAGAGAGCCCATCACCATTACTCTTGCCGATGGAAGTATCAAGGAGGGTATCGCGTGGGAGACCACACCTGCGCAAATCGCAGAGGGGATTTCGAAGAGTCTTCTTAAGCGTACGGTTGTTGCGAAATTAAACGGAGATTCTGAGCAGTTATGGGATTTGGAGAGACCTCTGGAGAAGGACTGCAAACTTGAGTTGCTTCCTTTTGAGAACGAGGAGGGCAAAAGAGTCTTTTGGCATTCTAGTGCTCACATCTTGGGTGAAGCTTCAGAGAGACGATTCGGTTGCAGTTTGTGTATTGGTCCTCCAATCGACAACGGTTTCTATTATGAGATGGGCCTACCAAATCAGGGAGCAGTTACTCAGGAGGATTGGCAGCCATTGGAGAAATTAGTCGGGCAGATTGTAAAGGAGAAGCAAAAGTTCGAGCGACTGGTTCTTTCTAAAGACGATCTTCTAGAGATGTTCAAGGACAACAAATACAAGCAGCACATCATTAAAGACAAGATCGCGGATGGAACTGACACCACTGTCTACCGTAATGGGCCTCTCATCGATTTGTGTCGAGGCCCTCACGTCCCCAATACTGGCAGAATCGAGACATTTGCTATCATGAAGAACTCAGCTTCATACTTCCTCGGAAATAAGGAGAATGACTCTTTGCAGAGAATCTATGGTGTATCATTCCCAGATAAGAAGCAAATGGCCGAGCACAAAAAGTTTTTGGAGGAGGCTGCCAAACGTGATCACAGAAAAATCGGTAAGGACCAAGAACTATTCTTCTTCCACGAAATGTCTCCTGGATCTGCAATGTGGTTACCCCACGGTACTCGTATCTATAATACTATCCAAGCCTTCCTTAGAGAGCAATACTGGAATCGTGGCTACAACGAAGTCATCACGCCAAATATGTACAACTCCGAGCTCTGGAAGACCTCTGGTCATTGGGCATACTACAAGGATGACATGTTCACGTTCCCAGTTGAGAAAGATGTCTTTGCTTTGAAGCCCATGAACTGTCCTGGCCATTGCTTAATGTTTGGACACCGTGAGCGTAGTCATAGAGAATTGCCATGGCGAGTTGCAGACTTTGGTGTTCTTCATCGTAACGAAGCATCGGGTGCGTTGACCGGTTTGACAAGAGTCCGAAGGTTCCAACAAGATGATGCCCATATCTTCTGTAGGGAAGACCAAATCAAGGATGAAATCACGGGTTTGTTTGATTTCCTCAAGACTGTCTACGGTCTTCTGGGGTTCACCTTCAAGCTGAAGCTTTCTACTCGCCCAGAAAAGTTCTTGGGTCAAATCGAGACCTGGGATATGGCAGAGGATAAGCTCCGATCTGCATTAGACGAATTTGCGGCAACACCTGGTGGAGCACCATGGGAGCTCAACGAAGGTGACGGCGCTTTCTATGGGCCAAAGATTGATATCACCATCTGTGATTGTCTCAAGAGAGAGTGGCAATGCGCTACCATTCAGCTTGACTTCCAGTTACCTCAAAATTTCGGTCTTGAATACAATACCGGTGATGTCCCAACAAAGAAGGAAGAAGAGGCCATCAAGGAACCAGTCGTCAAAGCAAAGAAGGACACCGAACCAGAGGATCCAAATGCCCCTCCAAAGGAGAGAGTATACAAGGCACTTACCCCTGGTTGCGCTAGACCAGTCATGATTCACCGAGCAATGGCAGGTAGTATTGAACGTTTCACAGCCATCTTAATCGAGCATTTCGGCGGAAAATGGCCCTTCTGGTTGAGTCCTCGACAAATCCTCGTCATTCCCGTCGGTGTTGGCTACTTTGAGTATGCAAAGGAGGTTCAATCCATCTTCCACAAACAGCAAATGTTCATCGATGTTGACCTCAGTGGCAACACTCTTCAAAAGAAGATTCGTACAGGTCAATTAGCACAATACAACTTTATTTTTGGTAAGTAGTCGCATTCCATTGTCACTATTCGCAAATTCATACTAATGTTCTCCAAAGTTGTCGGCGATACAGAAATGAAGGGTCGCGAAGTCAATGTCAGAAATCGTGATGATACATCGAGTCAAGATAGAGGAAAGCCCGTTTCATTACAAGAGGCAATTGAAAAGCTCACAGCACTTCGTGATGAGCGAAGATCAGATAATCCCTTCCCGGGTGAAGCAAAAGCTATCGAAGCACCTGCGGCAACTGCTGCTTAGAGGCGGGATATTCTTTCCTGGAAAGGAAAGTTAGAAGAAATGATGAAATATGAGGTGAGCACGTGTTAAGTGCGGAGAAGAGAGCATTATGACTGCTACATAACAAAGAATATATGATTCAACGTGTTTTCTTTGCTACTGGTATGCTAGATCTAACGTCCTATGAGAAATGAGATGAGATGAGATGAATAAAAAGAGCATTACACTGGCATGATATAATTTTAATCTGTGAAAGGCAGTTCATCGAACGAGAGGCAGACTCGGAAGTTATATTTGCCCAAATATCACCTTGTGAATAGAGCAAGATGTGTAATTGAAGAAAACTATTGAGTGATTTTTATTGATCAATCATGATTGGCTCTCGCTCTATCTAAGTGGTTGTTTGTTGAAACATCTTAAAAGTAGATTTAAAATAGGACTAATATATAAACATCGATCTGACTACTCAGAGTAGTAGTATAACAATAATAACAATAATGTTTTCAGAAGTAATTTTCTTTCTCGTTGAAATATTAGATTAATATACTCTCGAGCTAGACTATAAAACTAATATCATAAATAAGAGATTTTTTAATAATTAGTATTTATAGATCTCAACTTATAATCGAGTTTGCTATTATTATACTAGTAATTGATTATTATTATTATTATTATTATTATTATTATTATTATTATTATTATTAT